TGGCTGGCCCTGCCGTAGCTCTGCCCCACCGAGTGAGTGAGCAGTGTGTACTGGCAAGGAGGCGGCCTCTCCACTGTGCTAAGTCACACCTTTTTGTTAAAACCACCATGGGGGAGTGGAGCAGGAGTTGTGGGTCCTGTGCTGCTTTAAAAGTGTGTTCCCCAGGGGTGGAGGGCTGACCGTGCATCCCCCATGGGCACAGCCCCCAGGCCCTGCAAGGGTTGCTCACAGCGGCTCTCTGGGCTGGGAAGGATGCTGCTGGTTTCCTCCACGGTCCTAGTCCTCTGCCTTGTGCCTCAGGCCTGGGCTGATTCGTGCGCAGGTGCTTGGTAGTAGTTTGCTGGAAGATGAGACCTGCTTTCCCACCCACCCCAACAGGAGGGCTGCTTCGTGCCCAAAATGCTGTGTATGCAGCCTTTCCTGCACCCTTCCCACATCTCAAACCTACACTCTGGGGCTTGGAGGCCAGGGCCATCGCTGGATGTCACTGTCCAACTGTGAGCTCACACAACGGGGGACTGACAAAGCGGTTCCTGGGCACTGGTCTGGCACGCGCATTCATTCAACAAGCACTGATGTTGCCTTGGAGCCGGGTGCTGCTGGGTTTCCAAGCGCTCACTGTCTGTGTAACAGGGCAGACATGACCACGTGGTCTACACTGTAGTATGAGGGAGAGCAGGGAACAACACACTGCACAGAGATATCAGAGGACTTCACTGAGGAGGTGTCACTTGGTCAGGGGTTGTGACACGGCATCGTCACGGGTCCTCACCAGGGACGCTTGCTAGTGGCAGAGCGCAGCTTGAAGGAAGTGAGCGCAGGCCCTGTGGACAGCAGCCATGGGATGCAGGCCTGCGGCTCCGGGCTCCAGACGGCGCTCTCTGGCCTGACGTCAGTGTTTCGGCCCCAGCTGGTATGAAGAAAGGTGCACCCAGGGCCAACCCTCCTGAGTACAGGAACAGGAAAAAGCAACCATTTCTTGATTTTCTTGCCTTTGATTTTATGTTTGTCAAGGGAAACTTCGTTCTTACTCCGATAGCAGATGCGGGTGACTTGGCACCAGGAACTCGCCTGTTTGTGTTTCTCCTGGACCGCTTTATCCTGTTTCCCGAGCGTTGCTGAGATGGCGCGCGACCTGACAGAGGCCTTCCAGCCACATCAAAGGGTACAGCCTGCCTCCCCGAGCCCCAGCTCTGCTGCCGGGGAGCTCTCCTGCCCTCTTCGCCGGAGGTTGCTTTCCCAGGGAAAGAGGAGCTCTGAGCAGCCAGGTCCACCTAGGTAGCCCTTCTGCCTAACGCTGGCATCCTGGTGTCTGGTGGTTCATGGAATTGACGGGAAGGCTGGAGAACGCAGCTGTGAAAATAGAAAAGACCCAAAGGAGGCGGCAGGAGCCGGGGCCGGGCTAGGACCCCCGCATCGCTGCATCCCAGCCTCTTGACAGCTTCTCGCCCTTTCCTGCACCTGTCCCTCAGGAAAGCTGTAGTCTCTGGCGGGAGCATCATGTGGGTCAAGTCCAGTTGGCTTGGTTGTGTTGATGGAGGGAACTGACAGCTCCGTGAAGTAGGACAATTGGTTCTGTGTCTCCAAGACCTACAGAATATGGGGTTTCCCCAAGGAAGGAGGTGTGTTCTAATGTCTACCACAGCCCTGTTTGAGGGAGGGGTGAGCAAAGTTCAGGAGATGAGATACCAACAGTAGGGACAACACCAGTGGGAGACCCCCCATGTGTGAACCAACCCTTCAAGATAAAATTGGGGCTGATGTTTCATTGTAGTGGTCACCAGAGAAACCCAAGTGAGGAACAGTACTGACGACTGGTGCCACTCACCCATGGCTCCCGTGAGCTTGGTGCTGAGGTCGCCTGATGAAGTCTCTGGCTTTTCCTGGCAGGTACTGGACAGCATTCCTGCTTCACGGATAAGGAGATGGAGGTTCAGGAAGGGCGGGGTACCTTCGGGGTCACACAGCTACTGACAGTGGAATTTAGGTCTGCTGGACTTCGGAACTCACACTTTCCTGCTACACTGGTTTGTCCATCCCTTGGATACACCTACCTGTCTGTCCCATTTCCTCTGTGAGAAATCAAGGCTGGGTGATGGGCCAGCCTGCGAGCCCTCCTCTACCACTTCCAGACAGATGCTGCTGGCTACAGCAGGCCTTTGTTGTCATCTAGTGAACAGACATATTTGTATTCCCCCTTCACCTTGCTAGCAAAGTCAGAAGTAACTTCCTATCTGTTCTGTTTGTTTTACTTCTCTAGATGCCCCTGTTGAAGTGGAAAGAGCTGCTAACTAGATTCTGTGTGTGTGTGTTCAAGCAGGATAGATATTGAATGCAGGGCAGTGATGGGTGCCAGACATCCCAGCCCCCAGGTTTCAAAGTCTCCTCTGCGTTTGTAACTGACCAGATACACCAGTTAAAATCGGCAGGGTGTTCTTCTTGTGTGTGTGTGTTTCAATTCCACATATTGCAGCGGAACCGCCACAGAGAGATCGCGCATCTGCTGGTTTACACCCCAAGTGCCTGTGACAGCTGGGGCCGAGCCGGGTTGAAGCCAGGAGCTGAGAGTCAGCCCAGTTGTTCACTTTTTAGTATGTTTATCCAGTAGATCTACAATCCATCTTTGACGCAAAAGATGTATCTTTCTCGTAGGCAGCGACTACATAGCTGTCCCAGTGATTCAGAGATTGTGATGTGTTGATTCAGGCACCATCAAGGTCATAGATCTCCAAGCAAGATCCTGTTGACTCTCTTTGGAAACCCAAAAAGCATCAACCATGGCTTACACACAAATGTCTCCTTAAATTACAGATACTCCTTTGGGTCAAGTCTAGTAGCTTTTAAATCATGCAATCAATTCACAGTTGTCCAAAGAGAGGGCTTTGAAAGAAGGTAGTCACAAAAACAAAGTGCAGGGAGAAGGAAGCCCCCCTTCCCCTGTGGGGGTCTGCATAGGCAAGGCCTCAGGCTGGGGAGGGCTGGGTGACCCAGGCATGGGACCAGGAGTCCCTTCGAGATGGGCACCTGCTGCAGAGGAATGCTGGGCTGTTCCCTTCCTGGCGAGTGCATGTTATGGAGGTACTTCCCACGGTTCACGGAAAACAATTTAAACGTGAGGGTTCTTTGGTGCAAAAAAAGTAGAAATCCTCACACAGATTTTCACAGTATATATTTTCCATGGAGTTGTGGGAGACCCTTCATATGTATGGATTTCAACTTTTTTTTTTTTTTTTTGAAAAGAAAAAGTAAACTGATCTCTGGCATTGCATTTTTCACTCTCTGTGAGGAGTCCTTGTGGTACCTTCCCTGGCAGACACAGAGCGACGCAGTCTTGTTTGCTGTGATCATTCTTAGTCTGGTGTGCCCTTGTTCACATGTGACTCACACATCCTAGGACAGCAGAGGCCAGTGAGTTACGTGGGTACGGGCTTCTCTCTTCTCCTGCCAACTTCTCCAGATGCAAATTAAGTGGTGGTCAAATTAGTTTTTCCACTTAGCTTTTCTGGTGTCCTGGGATGGAGGGGAAAAGTGTCCCCTAAACCTCCTGTTTGGGTTCTCAACGACAGAATCTAAGGCTCTGGATAAGACGCCCACAGCACGGCCTGGACAGGGCAGCAGTCCCTGTTGTGTCCAGACTGAGAAGCGCTGCAATGTTCTCCTCAAGCCCTGTGTCCCAGCTGAGCTTCCCAGACCTCTGCTGGCCGAAGCGCCTCCGGGTCAGCGTTGCAGGGAACAGAGGTCCCATTTTAGAGCCCCATGCCCAGGGTTGCACACACAAGCTGTGTGTGGGACTTGGGGCAGAGCTGGTGCCCAGCGGTGCCAGCTGAGTGTGGGCTTCATCTGGGCTGCTGCCTCCGGAGATGGAGAGTGTGTGCCTTACGGTTCACTGGGAAGACATCCAAATGGGGTGGCTGTTTGGTGCAGTGGTTGACATCTATTTCCCTTTTGAGTCTCTAGGTTCAAATCCTGGCTCCCCATCTGACTCCAGCTGCCTGCTAACGCGCACCTGGGGGGCAGCAGGTGATGGCTCAGGACTTCAGTCCCTGCCGCCACATGGCCCAGCCTCTCCCCACTCCTTTCTGCTTTTCAAATAAAAGCAAGTCAAATAAAAAGGCATAAACTTCAGAAAACACTGGCCACATGTAGGAAAAGGTGCTAATTGCCTTAATAGATAAAGAGACCTTATAAGTCACAAAAAGACCAATCTAACAGAATAAGCAAAGGAAATGGACACATCAGACAAGTTAGTGCAAGTGGTCTTATTTATTTAGATACAGAAAGACAAGCACGCAGGCAGATCCTGGGAGAGGCAGGTGGCGGCAGGACAGTGGCAGAGACCTGGAGCTCCTCCGAGGAGCGGAGCGTGTCTTGGCCGGCTTATTTGTCAGATGCAGTTTGGGACTGCAGGGACAGTGAACCGGGTTCCAAAGCGAGGAGAGCACAGTGGCGCGTGCAGGCAGAGCAGTTTTGGGAGCATGAAGATCTGGGAAGGCGAAAGCCTTGAGAGCCAGACCCCAGCCACTGGGGTACGCGCAGATTGCAAAGGGGCCACCGCGGGCAGTGGGGATGAACCCCTAAAGTCGCAGGGCCTGTCCTCCAGGTGGCCTGGCGGCTGGGCCTTCTGCCCTGGGTTACAGGAAACTCGGAAAGAAGGGAGGCAAGAACCCGTGGTGGGATTCCAAGAGCTGGAAAGGTTTGGGAAGTGGCGGGTCCGGAGTGTTGGTCAAGGGGCGCGGACTATGATCAGAGGGACGCGACAGAGGCACGAGCCCCGGGCGGATCTTGTTGGCGGGGCTGGAAAGGGTGGCCATCTGGTGCTCCGGGGATACGGCTTGGACTTCCCCGAGAAGGGGCGGTGTCGGGGTCTCCGGAGACCCGGGCCCGCGCCTCGCAGGCGCGCGGGAGGCGGTGGGCGGTCCCCGGGGCCGGCCGGCCTCCCTCCCCCTGCGCTCCTGTTTCTCCGGCCTGGGGCCACAGGCCTGTGCCCGGCGGGGAAACAAAGGGTCCACTCGCCGGCCCCGGCACTAGGCCCGCGGGCAGTCAGGACCGAGGGGCGGCGGCTCCCGCCCCCGGGGCCGGACGTGGCGCCTCCCCTGCCGCAGCGGCCGGACTCTGGAGGTGGGGTCGGGAGCCAGAGGCCGGGGCTCTGATGTCACCGCTTGGCCTTGGCGCCCGGGCGCGCGTCTCGGGCGGGATGGAGCTTCAGGTACGCGGCGGGGTCGAGGGTCGGGGCGCGGGGTGGGGTCCCCGCCTCCTTGGAGGAGGCCGGGGCCGCGCTGGGGAGGCGCACAGCCGGGCCGCCGAGCCACCGCCGCGTCGTCCAGTCTCGGGTCCGACTCGGTGCCGAGCGTGGCTGCGCAGTCCAAGCGGACCGGTGCGCGCCTTTACTCTCTGTTTCGGGGGAGGAGACCCACGGACCCACCCAGCCGGCGGCGCTGCAGGGGCGCCGCGTGTGCCCACCGTGCATGGGGGGGCCTCTACCTCGCGACCCGACTTGTGCCCTTCGGTCGCGGAGCAGCCGAAGAATCGGGGTCCTCGCGCCCAGAATCGCGCGGTCCAAGTCCTCCTTCCCCGACGGTGAACCCCACAGGAAAGGCCGAGAAAAGCGCGGGTCAGCGGCCATCCGCTCCCTCCCGGCTCCGCGTGACTCTGCCGCCCCCTGCGGTCGCCGAGGCCTGCGCCTTTCTTCAGATCTCGAAGCCCCAGGCCCGCAGTCCGTCCGCCCACGGGCGCCTCTGCCCGGTGCCGCCAACACCTGCACGTCCTGAGCGCGGCCCGCGGCTCCGGAGGCTGAGACCCCGGGCTGCAGAACCGTGAAGCACCGCGCAGCAGCCGCTCCCCGCGGCGCGCACTCGCTCGGAGAACGGGGACTGGGAAAGCCGGGGAGCTTTCCAGAACGCCCACCTGGCCCGACCTAGCCTCGGGTGCTGAGAGTCCTGATCCGGCCCGCGACGTCGGTCCGGCAGGGACGCGGCTGTGCAGACAGCGCCCCCGCCGTGAGCCCAGGACAGAAGGAGGACCCGCGGGTGGGGAAGTGGGGACCGGCCGGGGGTGAGGGGGCCAGGGAGAGAGGTGCGGTTTGGTTCCTGATGTTGGTTGCGTTTGCCGCTGTTTGCTCCTCTTGCCCCTCTGGCCAGCACAGCTGGATCCGCAGCCATTGTTCTGGACTGACTGCATCAACCAGAAACTGGCGTTGTTTCTCCCACGACCTCTGCCTCGGCACCTGGTCTGCCTGCTGTCCTGGCTCACAGCCCAGCTGCTGACCCCAGAGCGCCCGCTGAGGGGGCACTGGACCCCTTGGCCAGTCCCGGGTCCCAGCCTCCTTGCAGACTGGTGCCCACCTGCCAGGCCTCTAACTGTGAACCCTGGACTTACCTGTGTCCCCTCGTCCTCTCATGCTCTGTCATTCGGGTGGCAGGTACCCCTAGAACATCTCCCCCACCCTGAGGACCCCACTCTGGTTTTCTAGCAGGGATTCCATGCTGCTCCTTGCCCCCCCACAGAGCTTTTTTTTTTTTTTTTTAATTTAGCGGGCTGGCGCTGTGCCATAGCAGGTAAAGCTACTGCCTGCAGTGCTGGCATTCCATTAGGCACCAGTTCCAATCCCAGCTGCTCCACTTCTGATCCACTCTGCTATGGTATGAGAAAGCAGTGGAAGATGCCCAAGTCCTTGGGCCCCTGCATCCGCGTGGGAACACCTGGAGGAAGCTCCTGGCTTCGGATTGGCACAGCTCTGGCCATTGCGGCCATTTGGGGAGTGAACCAGCAGATGGAAGACTTTTCTTTCTCACTCTGCTTGTGCTTCTGCCTCTCTGTAACTCTGCCTTTCAAATAAATATTTGAAAGAGTTCTTTCAAATAAATTATTTAAAAGAATTAGTGAGACAGAAAGGTCTTCCATTTGCTGGTTCACTCCCCAAATGGCTGCAATAGCTAGGACTGGGCCAGGCCAAAGCCAGGAGCCAGGAGCTTCTTTGGGGTCTCCCACGCTCTGGTCATCCTCCGCTGCTTTTCCAGGCACATTGGTAGGGAAACAGACCAGAAATGGAGCAGCCTAGACTTGAACTGCAGCCCACAGGGGATGCCAGCAACTCGGGCAGTGGCCTAACCCGCTGTGCTGCTGTGCCGACCCCCTGTTGAGCTTTTTGAGCTCCCACTTCTGAATTTCTGTTCAGCAAGGAACAGGCGTCAGTCCAGCCCATAACTGCCCCAACACCGGGGGCCCCAGGACCTGGCTACCTGCAGCCACAGGGGCTTGTTGGCCTACAAGCCGCTCCCTGCCACAGGACGAGTCTGGAAACTCTTTAGTCTTTGTGCTGAAGTCCCAAATGCACCCCAGAGCAGCTGGGTCCTCCTGGCACAACAGGTTCTGCAAAGGGCACCCTGTGAGCCTTGTGTGTGGGTGTCAGCTTGCTGGGGCCACCAGTTAGGGTTGGTGAGAAGGCAGGTATCCGTGGTCCGTTGTCCACTCGGACGGTTCAGAATCCTTTGTTAATGCAGCCCTTCACAGATGTGGTTGCTTGTGTGGCTGCAGCACGCCAACCAGGGCAAGCCCGGAAGCACAGGGCAGACAATGCTCCAAGGCTGGGCCCAGAGGCACTGGAGAGAGAAGGCTGGTGTCTGAGTCCCAGGGTGGAGCTTCTGCAGGAGGTAGCTGTCCTCCCAGGAGCTGCTGCCCGCCTGGCCTTGGAAGTCTAGACAGCAGAGACCCTTTGCAATGGAGGCGCATGGTGGGCATTAGAATGCCCCCACATGGGTGAGGTCAAGATGTTCGTGGCCTGGGTCTCCTGGAAAGTCCCTTCTGGGAATGCAGAGGAGCCACCTCTCCTTTTTAGGAAACATCAGGTCCTGCACCCTGCACCCACCTGCCATGCTGCGCAGCCTTCAGCGGCCTCCTGGGCTTCAGAGGTTGTGGGGGCAGGGCTGCTCTGAGCCCCAGTGTCTGGGAGGCTAGCGTTGTGATCCCTACCCTCCCAGGTTGTGCGCATGCACTCCCCACCAAGCGGCTGGGAAGCCTGCCCTCCCGCATGGCTCACAGGGAGCCCCAGCCGAGCCTCTGAGCTGCTGTCACTGTGACCCAGCACACTCACTCACCCGGCACTGGGGAGCTATTGATTGCTGGCCAGTCCTGCTGCACGCCGTGCTCGCCTGCTCTGTTTGTTCCTGGTGTTGTGCAAGCAACCTGGTCGCTGTCCCTGGGTCAGGCGTCCCCTCCCCTAGAAAAGGTTATTAATAGGGAAAGGAGAGGGTGGGCAGAGCCAGGGAGGCTGCCCCAGCTTCTGCTGCCTGCCAGTCTGCTCCTTCCCTTGTCATCCGACAAATACTTACCTTGACCATAAGCCAAACGCCGTGCCGGGCACGGAGCGTGCAGTGTGAATAAGGGCAGGGCCTGCCCTGGGGACGCCGGGGGTGGGGGCTGGAGGGACTCCCAAGCAAGCCAGCGATGACAGCGCAGGGTCAGGAGTGCTGTGACAGGGCAAGCTCGGGACACCTCCAAGCTGAGTCCTGTGGGAGAGCAAAAATATCAGGGCAAAGGGGAAGTGACAGCTGGTCACTTCACAGACAGAGGCAGGGGACCGCATTATTCTGGGGCCTACCGATAGCGCCTAGGGAGATGGAGCCAACCCCTTCCCACTGTGGAGTTGGGGCCCAGTTTGGGGGCGGGGGGCATGGTAAACTACTTTCAGCAGAGTTTGCTTCCAGGCAACTGATTCCGGCCCTGCAGTGCGCCTGCGGGCTGGCCATGATTCCAGGCCGAGCTCTGCCGCTTAGCTGTGTGCCCCTGCACAGATCATGTCCTCCCCCCCCAGTCTCAGTGCCCCCATCTGCAAAGGCAGGTAGGCTTGTGAGCCCAGGGAGGGAGGCAGGCTGTGCCGCTGGCCCTGCCCCCTGGCTGCGTCTTGGCTCCCTGTGACCTCAGTGTTCCCTGCCATTGTGTATTGGGGTAAGATCACAGGAGAGCCTGGCAGAGCAGCCCGGAAGCGGCGTGGGTGGAGCGGCCTCCGTAGGGCAAGAGCCCCGCTGTGGCCTGGGCACTGCAGGGGTGGCCGGGTAGAGGCCCACGGCTGTGCTAGTCTTCCTCAGAGCTGGGTTAACCCCCTGGGTCTGGCCTACTGTCCCTACCATTCGTGCACCTGTGGCAGCTCAGCCAGAATGGAGGGGTGTGGCCGGGCCTGACCCTCGTGGTGCAGGGCCCCGCAGGCTGTCCTAACTCATCATCCCGTCCTTGTCTTTTCAGGACCCCCGGAGCCAGCCAGCTTCGGCACCTACCCGCGCAGCCATGGAGGCCTTGGGTCCCGGGGATGACCGTGCCTCCCCCGCCTCAAGCACTCGAAGCCTGGATCTGCGGCTGTCCGCGCGTGCCGACTCGGCCTACAGCTCTTTCTCGGCGGCCTCCGGCGGCCCTGAGCCACGCACGCCATCGCCCGGGCCCGACCCCCTCCCTTACCTTGACTGGGACTACGTGCGTGTGGTGTGGGGCGGCCCCGGCCCCGCTCCGCCGGACGCTGGCCCGCGCACCTGCCCGCGGCCCCGGCCCGCGGTGGCGGCGCACTATGGAGCACAACCCCCTATCGTAAAAAACACCAGGGACTCTCTACAAACAATCTACTCCGATTCTTTACGCTCTGGTGGCAGAGGCTGAGGCCGCTTCGCGAACTGTCGAGCCGCCCAGCCCGCCGGCCTCGCGGGCCGCCTACCGCCAGCGACTGCAGGGCGCGCAGCGGCGGGTGCTGCGGGAGACGTCCTTCCAGCGAAAGGAGCTCCGCATGAGTCTGCCCGCCCGCCTGCGGCCCGCGGCCCCCGCGCGGCAGCCCACCACGCACCCGCGCTCCGCCTCGCTCAGCCACCCGGATGGGGAGGTGGAGCGGCCGCGCTGCCCGGCCCCCGCGCCAGGAACCGCCGACCCGGAGCGCCTCGCCAGCCAGCAGCGGAAGTGGTGCTTCTCGGAGCCGGGGAAGCTGGACCGCCTGGGATGGGGTGTCGGGGCGGCGGGGGAATGCTTGGGTGAGGCCAGCACCGTCGCCGGCGGCCCGGTTGGGCCTGAGCTGGCCGGGTGCAAAGGGCTGCCCGAGATCCAGCCCCAAGGTCCAGCCGACTGTGGGTCCCAGAAGTTTGCTCCTGCCTACCGGCCTGCTGGTCGGAGTAGGAGCGCTTCCGGGGAAGCCTTAGGCCCCTGGGGAGGTCCAGGAGGGCCCATGTCAGTCGCCCAGGTATGGAAGATAGGCGGATAGGGGTTGGTCGGGGATGGAGCCCCTGGGATACTGACAACTCCAGCTGTCCACCTTTGCAGGCTCTTCCCCAACGAGCACAACCGCCCAGGCCATTGTTTCAGACCAAGGTCTCCAGGTGAGAGACGAGAGCCCAGGCTGGGCTGTGACCCAGGAAAGGAGCAGGTGCCTTGCCTACGCCCAGCCTGAGCCTTCTGACTCCTGCAAACTGGGAACCCTGCTGTCTCCCTTGTACAGCTCCAAGAACTTCCTCCCCAGTCGCTGCGGTGGGTGTGAGGCCCCTGCCTCCAGGTGCTCGACTCAGAAGGAGGCTGCAGTGACCTGTCCCACAGAGCTCCCCGCCGGCAGCCCTGCCGACTCTGAGCAGAGGGTCTCGGAGACCTGCCGTGGTCCTGCCTGGCTTCCCTCCCTCCCCGACGACAAGGTCTTCCTGGAAGAGGCCTCGATGGGCAGAGTGACGTCACCTCCAGGCTCTCAGGCGGAAGAGTGAGATGCTTCTCTCCCTCCCTCCACCACACACACATCTGGAAAATGCTAAGGGAGCCGGGAACCTTCTCCTGGCCGGAGCCTGGGCGCCCAGGGGGTGGGGTGGAGGCAGGCAGCCCTTGGAGGCCACCGTTGTCAGTGGCCAGAGCCTTTTCTGATTCACTGTCTTCTACTTCCAGTGCCTGTGCCTCTGATGAGCAGAATGGAACTGGCCTGGACCACAGGGCTGGCCGAGTCCCCGCAGAGTGTCCCCTCGACGGGTGTCCGGGGTCAGCAGCGGCAGATGAGGGCTGGCAAGGGGTGAACGGGTCTGTGGGTGTTTGCGGGCCCACAGGCTCTAGCACCCCTGGGACTGCGAATGGTGACATCCCAACCAGTGACCCCTCGGGAATGCTGGCCACTGAGCCCCCTGCAACCACAGAGAGTGACCCCATGAAGCCTCTCCCTGTGGATGGCCCAGGACCTTCAGACAGTCACACCCAAGGGCCTGTTGGCCACACTGCGCTGGGCTGGGGCACTGGCCAGCCTGGTTCCTGGCCAGCATGGTCCAGTCAGCGCCTCGAGGAGCTGGTTCAGGAGCTGGCCAGACTGGATCCCTCTCTGAGTGACACTTTAGCCGCCCAGCCCAGCGCAGAGCCACCCCTGGGCCTGCTGGATGGGCTCATCCCTTCCGCTGAGGTCTGGGCTGCCATGTCGGCAGCAGAAGATGCTGCTGGTACTTCTGAGTCAGGGTGAGCGAGGGGCGTCAAGGACGGGGCGGGTCGCATGCCCCTGCTGTGTGGGGCAGGACCGCCCAGGGAGCTGTGGCTTTGTCCCCAGGTCCAATCAGCTCAGCTCCCCCCAGCTCCTGCCAACTTCTCAGGAGACAAGGCCTGAGGATCCTGGTGCACACCCCGTGCCTGACCAGCTGTGTGGCCGGGGCCTGCCTGCACCGCACAGCAGCCTCCAGGCCAGGAAAGTGAGTGTGGGCATCCGGTGGGGGCTGGTGGGGGCAGGGGCCCAGGCGTCCTGGGCATGGCCCGAGTACCCGGCCCTCCCTGCAGGTGGAGCTCGCCGACATCCTCCAGAAGATGCTTGGAGAACTTCACGCCGAGCAGGAGCGGCTGCACCTCAGGGCTCACAAGTGGGCCAGCGGCCAGGCGGCCCTGGAGGCTGCGGTGGGCCAGGCCTGTGCTCCCCGAGAGCTGGAGCGCTTCCGCCGCTTCCTGGCCGACCTGGAGCGAGTGCTGGGGCTCCTGCTGCTTCTGGGCAGTCGCCTGGTCCGCGTGCGCCGCGCCCTGGCCCGGGCGGGTTCAGACGGCGACCCCGATGAGCATGTAAGGTGGTGCGGGTTGGGAGAGCCGGGCGGTGAGCGGCCCGCCTCCCCGGCTGGCACCGTGGCGGGCGGCGGGGCTCACGGTGCGCTCTGCCCCGCGCTCTAGGCCTCCGTGCTTCAGCGGTTCCGGCTCCTGCAGCGGCAGCAGGAGGACGCCAGGGAGCTCAAGGAGCACGTGGCGCGGCGCGAGCGGGCCCTGCGCGAGGCGCTGGAGCGGGCACTCCCCGCGGAGCAGCTGCGCTCCTACTGCGCCCTGCTGGCCGGCAAGGCCGCCATCCTGGCCCAGCAGCGCAGCCTGGACGAGCGCGTCCGGTTCCTTCAGGACCAGCTGGACGCCATCGGCAGGGACCTGGGCCGTCGACCCCTGTCTCCCAGGCTGGTCTGGCCTCCTGGGACCTGTCCACGGGATGACCCGCCCTTTCCCCCTCCCATGGTCTAGCCAGGGGAAGGGGAAGCCCTGCCCACGCCTCTCACCCGCGGGGCTGGGTTACTCGGTGCTTTTTCCACCAGTGCTGGGGAGGTCTAAGCCTGCCCTCCCAGGGTCCTGTTTTCCAGAGTTCCTATGGCCTTGCCCAAGTCAGCTGGGCCATTTGGTAATTAACTTATAGGTTTTAGACACAGCAGTAGGCCCCCTCTTCTTGATGGCCAGAAGGAGAGGACACAGAGGAGCACTTCGGGTGCAAATCCTGTTTTTCCAATAAAATTGGTTAAAGTGTGTGTGTCACCGGCAGCACATTGGTGGAGAGGTTCTTCTTCTTTTTTTTTTTTTTCCCAAAAAAGATTATTTATGTGAAAGAGAGAGAGAGAGAGAGGTATCTTCCATCTGTTGGTTCGATCCCCAGATGGCCACAATGCCAGGGCTGGGCAGGGCTGAAGCCAGGAGCTTCTGATGGGTCTCCCATTGAGTGCAGGGACCCAAGCACTTGGGTCATCTGCTGCTGCTTTCCCAGGTCATCAGCAGGGAGCTGGATTGGAAGTGGAGCAGCCAGGAATCTAGCTGGTGCCAAAACGGAATGCCTGCATCATAGGTGGTGGCTTTACCCACGATGCCACAACACCACAGTCTGGTTGACAGGATGCCAACTTCAGCCCAGTGTGCTACAGAAGGCAGCCTTGTGGGCTGGTCAGCCGCAGGCCTGGCGGTGTGGAGGAAGACTGGAGGAGGGAAGGACCCTCAACTCCATTGGCACGGTGACCCCAGCTCCTCCGGTCACTGCCTCCTTGCCTCTGGGGCCTAGGTCTGGCTGGCTGAGCCCAGGTCTCCAGGGCTGGTCGGACCAGACCCCCACTGCCAGTAGTGGGAGTGAGGGTACTGCTCCCTGGTGGGTGTCTGATATACTGGATCATCTGGGGACCTCACAGCCAGCCCCAGAAGTTTCCCTTCCAATTACACTACCAAACCTGGGCTTTTCCCACTCTCCTTGGGGACACTACTGGGACAGTGGGCCCCGAGCAGGGCGCTTGAGATTTAGGGGCCAAAGGGGGGGGAGGAATGGCGACCCTTAGATCTTGCATTTGGGGGGGCTGAGGACCTGGACAGCCGTGGCTAACTGCCTGAGAGGCTGATGTGGGGCACTGGGAAACAGGGTGGCCTCCCCTGGGATCCAGACTATATTCTCAGATACATTCAGCAAACTGGCTTCAGTGTCTGAAGGTGCAGACACAGCCATGTTGTTCTGCGGAGGGTTAGCGAGTGAAGGCGCGCGAATGTGTTCAGAGCCAAGTGACCTCAGAAATCTGCTGCTGGGCTTTTAAAACATATATGTATGTATGTATGTATGTATGTATATGATTTATTTATTTGAAATGTAGGGTTTAGAGAGAGGAGATACATTTTCCATCTGCTGGTTCACTCTCCAAATGGCTGCAGCCTGGCCGATGTCAGAAGCCAGGAGCTTCTTCCCGGTCTCCAACATGGGTGCAGGGGCCCAAGGACTTGGGCCATCTTCCACTGCTTTCCCAGGCGCTTTAGCAGGGAGTTGGATGGGAAGTGGAGCAGCCACGAACCAGCGCCCAGTGCCGACACTGCCGGCCTGCCTTAACCAGCAGATCTGCAGCGCCGGCCCCTGGGGTTCTTTCCTGTCACTCACTGTCACTAAGTACAACCAGCTGGGCCTTTTTTTTTTTTTTTTAAAGTGGTGGCTTCATACCAGAGCCGCGCTGCGGAGTGCAGAACAATGCTCTCATTGTGCCTTTTTATAAAGAACAGGATAGGTCCCCGCGGCGCCAGGGCGGGTTCTAGTGCGCTTTGGGGCTCGGCTCTGCGTGCCGGGTCCTCGCCCTCAGGATTCAAGTTTCTGCCTTCTGCTCCGCACGGTCGCCACCGCGTTCTCCTGCGGCGAGCGTCTGAGAGACCTCGAGCGTTGTCCGCAGGCCGCTAGGAGCTGCAAGGCCGGTGGTGCAGCCGGGCTGGGCTGGGCGCGTCTGCCCTCTCCCATTCGGCGGGACCTGGGCTCCGTGCGGGGTGGTCTGTGAGGGGTACGGGGCTTCTGTGCTGCGCCCTGCCGTTCCCGCGCGGCTCCCGCCGGCTCGCCGCTGCCTCCTTCCCTCCCAGGCGCGCACGAGCGCGCCGTGGCTGCTCCCTGCTGGCACCACCACAAGCTCGCGGCGGACCGGCAGCTGGGAGGCACGGCCCCTTCCCGCCACTGCCAGCAGGGGGCACTGCTGTCCCTGTGGCAAAAGTTTGGCCCCCGCAGCCCCTGCCCCGCGGCCGGGCCCTCGGCTCCAGCTCCGCCAGGCGCAGGGCCCCCCCGCGGAATCTGGGCTTGGTGCAGCTGCCGGAACGCAGCCCTGTCCAGCCAGGAGGGGGCAGGCTGACTCGCTCGGCTTTGCCCGGAGGTCTGGCCTGTGTGGTTGCAAGGCTGTGGGCTGCTGAACAAAGGGTAGAGCTGCCTTCGGGGGTCACGGTCGCCAAGAGCCTCCCAGGGCGGAAAACGGCTTCCCAAGGGTCTCTAATTAGGGGTTTCTGCCCGCCATCCCCCCAACTACCCATGTCTCCTGCCCCATCTCCCCCACCCCCCACCGCCACCGCCTCCTACTCTGCTCTCCCTACCCCACCTCCCTACCCCTCCCCATCTCTCCCCAACTTCATCTCCCCCAACTTCCAGTCTCCCCCATCTCCTCCGTGCCCCCCATCTCCCCACCTCCACCACCATACCTCTTTTCCCCTCCCCTTCTCTCGGGAAGCCCATCTCCCCGAACATCCAGTCTCCCCCCGCCCCGGCTCTCCCATTTCCGCCCCCATCTCCCCCAACATCCAGCCTCCCCCCGCCCCGGCGCTCCCATTCCCGCCCCCATCTCCCCCCCTCGCCACCCCCGGCCGCCTGCGCTGGCCTTTAGGGACCGCGCGGCCGTGTCGTTGCCGGGGAACGGGCGTCCGCCCCCGCGGCTCCTCAGAACGCGGGCGTCACCAGTGCGCTTTCTACCCTGCGGCCGCGCCTCCCCCGCGCATGAGGGAAGCGGTGTTCGCAGTGCCCCAGCCGGCGCGCAAGCTGCTGGGCACAGGCCGTCCCCGGGCCGGGAACAAATCGCCGTGCGGTGCGCTCCCGCGCTCCCAAGCTGCGGGGCAAACTCAGGAGGGGGAGCGTTAGACAGCAGCCTCCAGAGCCGACGTTTAGACACGTGCGCCCCAGGCAGATCCTGCGAGACAGCCCGTGACAACTGAAGGAGTTTGGGAGTTTGGGAGACCTGGATTGCATTCCTGGCTCCTTCCGGACTGCAGCCCAGCCCCGCGGATGGCCCGCTGCGGTTGGCATTCGGAGAGTGAACTAACACTGTCTCACATCTTAAAGGACCCCATAGTGTGAGCTTTGCAGCCTGGCTATGGCTTAGGTGGCTACAATGTGGCTCACTTTGTTGTCCTTAGTATTTAAACCAGCACCCACTTCCCACGGGGAGGATTTTTTTTCCTGTAGGGGAAAGGTCTGTATCTGTGTCTCTCCCAGGTCACCCCGGCTTCACAGGTCTCAGCCTGGAGCTGCAGACCAAGGCAAAGGCTGTCCGGAGAGGAGCAGACAATCTATGAAACCATTTTAAATGGCCAAATAATTTCTTCCAGGAAAGGGCCAAAAATGGGGTAAGGGAGAGAATAAGGGTCTTAGGTGGGTCTATGGGCCTTAGCCTTCATGCTCCCTGAATGCATGGCAGGGGGTTAGGACTCCCCGGAGGGGCAGGGATGGCCAGAGAACTTGAGTCAGGAAAGACACTGCTGCTCCTGTGTTAACTAAAAGGTATCCATGCAGAACATGGGTGACTCCCTGCCTGGCAGCGCGGGTCTCTGGCAGGGCCAGTTATTTAGGTACACACAGACTCCCACTAAAAGCATGAGGATCCTCTTAAGCAAAGTAGGGGGTGCAGCCATCTACTCCATGGAACCAGCTCAGCACCCCTGGAAGTATCGCATGGAGAGCCCCGCGGACGCCCTGTCTTGGGCCCTCAGAAGAGGGGGATGGAGCCTGGAGAAGTGGTCACCGCCTGGATAAAGGCCGTGACGGCACAGCAGCAGGAGGACCGGCATCTCTGCTGCTTCCTGGCTGTGTGGCCCGGACCAGTTACTCACAGCTCCTCTGGGCGTCAGCTGCTTTGCTCTAAAGTCAACACACTAGAAGTTAGGACCTTGTAAGAATGTGGTTAACACCTGCGGAGTGCTTAGAAGTCTGCGGGTACTTGACCAGCTGTGTGCACTGCTCGTACCCTGGGTCTCCACGAGGTCCATCAGGCGAGCTCAAAAATACCCTGCAGTCTCCATTCGAGGACATAAGAACCATTTAAAAGCTGGCCATGCATGCGACTCCAAATCCACACCAACAATTAATCTCTCCCCACCAAAAGGAGGCGCCTCCTCCCTGTGAGAACTCTTCCCACCTAAATTGCCTCGTTGTCAGTTAGAAGTCCTCTACAGGTGTGCTGCCTGCTAGGTAAGATTTAAGATTGATTGACAGAGTGATGGGCAGGGGGTGGGGGAAGGAGGAGAGATTTTCCAGCTACTGCTTCATTCCAGAAATGTCCTCAACAGCCAGAGCCGCACCACAAACCAGTCCCTTGGCTTCTGTCTTAATCATATGGTTCTTGCAAATTTACCATCTGCATACCCAACTATAATTTTCTACCAACTTACCTTGCAGTTTCAGAAAATGTTTGTCTGCAAGGCAGTAACCATGGTCTCTTTTTTTCAATGCTTGTTTTATCTACTTGAAAGGTAACAAGAGTCCAGTCCCGTCTTCCTGTCCAGCTTCCTGCTAATGCGCACCCTGCGAGCCGGCAGCCATGGCTCAGCACTTGGGTCTCTGCCACCTATAGGGCAGACTGGGACGGCGCTCCATCCAGGCCTCAGCCTGGTCCAGCCCTGGCTGTTTCGGTCATTAGGAGAGTGAGTATGGTATGCAGGTGTTGCAAGGGGCAGCTTAACCTGCAGGCCCCGATGCCTAAGCCTTCACAGGAGTTTCTACCACCTGGGCTCCAGGGTTACTGATCCTGAACTCTTGTTTCACCTGCCAGCTCACAGTGCGCCCTTCTGAAACCCCAAGACTCTGCTGGCCGAGTTCAAGGGACCCCAGTGCAGATCGTCTTTCTACAGGTCACGCCCGTGTCTGTGAACCCCATGACGCCGTCAGGCCTCTCCCTCAGCACAGAAAATCTCTAATACTTAATTCTGTCTCCCGCCTCCTCAGCCACGCAGATCGCTGCAATTATTGCCTCCCACGGCTTTTCCTGCAGAGGCAGAAGATTCCATTTGCATTTTAAAATAATTTCTGCAGACTAGCTGGAGCTCTCGGGAGGGGTCAGCTCCGGGGCCTACATTTATCCGCAGGTCCTGGCTACAGTTTCCTTGTGTGGTAGACTTCTGCGCTTCGCACAGCAATCCAAGTTCCTTAATTATTTCAGTGCTTGGAAGAGAAGAATGAGGGAGGGAGGAAGAATTAAGCAGACATACAGAAAATACAGTGGCAAAAGCTGCAGAGCCTTTAGGGGAAGTAAATCTCACCAAAGCAGAATAAAATGGGATGTTTATTTCATTGCTTAAATCAAAACATTCCATGAATGATTGCCTTTAGTAAATTCAACTCACTGATTATTTGAGGGAAGTCCCATCACTGAGCTATAAAAACTGTGTGATACCACTAATGACATGCAAATGTAATTTGCAAAAGCAGAGAATTATCACAATACAATATGAAAAAGGTTGGCTGAACAAACACATTCCACATCTTTGAAACAAACAAACAAAAAGAGCCATAGTAAGTAGGCGGTGCAGGCCCTGGAAAACCGCAGCAGTGCCCACACACCACCAGGCTGTGCAGATGGGGACCAGGTGGGGGGGGGGGGGAGCTGCCCCAGCCGGGCTACCCAGAGAAGATTCTGCATTTGTGGTTTCTCAGTAAACTGTTTTCAAAAAATGCAAATAAGGTACTTTGTTTGTACAGGACTTGCATATACAACACCTGCTCCTCAGTTAATGTGTGACTGTTGCATCAGGTACTGTTCTGAAGCCAAGACAGGTTTTCTGATTATCCACCCACTGTACCCAAAGGGCTCCAGCCTGGGAAACCACGGATTCAGAAACACAGCACGGAGGTGCACTTCACAAACACGTCACCATTTTTAAACGTTAAATATCCAGGTCAAAGCCAAAGAGCCACCCAGCATTTACACTGCACGATCAAGACAAGCACAGAGCAAAAGCAGCTGCTAAAAAGTCTCTCCTCCGCGCCTGGGCCAATCGCCGATACTGGGCATTCACAGTACAGCCGAAACTCACTACATTCGTAAGGGTCACGGGGTTATTCCGTGTTCAAGATCTTTCCAGAATCTTGATCACCTAAAATGAGGTAGATAAACTTTTCAGAGTTTTGTTGGTTGGGACTAATTTCCTTTAGATCTCTGTACTTTTTTATTTTTTAATAGAATTCCAAAATACTTAGCAAAAGATGGAAAATGAGCACTTTGCCTAAAAATGAAAAAATATAATTCCACAGGTTCTTAGGAAAGTTACTTTACCTCATTTTAATTTAAAAACAGAGTAAAACCATCCAGTTACAAAAGCCCCTTCACACGGAAAGCGGCCAGCGCGCCCCCGCCGGGCAGTGCGCCGCCGCGAGCCCTCGGGGCCAGGCCAGCTGCTGCCCCGTGCCCCTTGCCCGAAGCTCAAGTGTCCTCCAGAGTCCAGCGCCGGCTGCTGGCTTCCTCACAGGGAGCCGCTCCCGGCGACGCCGGCCGTCGGGGGCAACAGGCTGTGGCGGGCGGAGCTGTGCGGCCGCCGGCCCGTGGCGCTCACTCAAGCCGTGGCCACGGCGGCCGTCAGGTGGCGGGGGGCACGCCGGGCACCAGGCCAGCCAGGGGCCCCAGCGGGGGTCGGCGAGGGGCTTCCGAGAAGGCCGGCAGCGCGCCCCGGACCTTGGTCTTCTTGCGGGGCGCCATGGGCGAGGCGCCCAAGAACCTGCTGAAGGAGCTCGACTTCCTCAAGCCGCGGGCCAGGTCCTGGAGCATCAGGTCGTCGGCCAGGACGCCCAGGAAGGCGCTGGTGGTGGAGCTGAGGATGGTGGCGGCCACCTGCACCGGACGCCGCGGCGCCAGGCCGCCCCCTCCGCCCCCGAGGGCGTCGAGCTCGGCGCCGCGCAGGCCCGGCTCGCCCAGCAGGCGGCGCAGCGCGTACGAGGAGCCGGGCCGCAGGTACTGGTAGGCGCGCCGCCCGCTGTGGTCGCGCACGTGCACCTGCGCGCCGAGGCGCACGACGAGCAGCACGGCGGCGTCCTCGTGGCCGTGCAGCGCGGCCAGGTGCAGCGGCGTGTAGCCGCCGTGCGAGCGCGCGTTCACGTCGACGGGCGCGCCCCCGCGCCGCGCCGCCTCCACCAGCTGCAGCGCCATCTCGCGGTCGCCGCTCTTGGCGGCCCAGTGCAGGGCCGTGAAGCCGGACATGAAGTCGCGCTTGGCCGCCAGGCCGCGGTCGCGCAGCAGCAGCCCGTGCAGCTGGTGGGTCCAGCGGCCGCCGGCCGCCCGCACCAGCCACTCGTGCTCGGCCGGCTCCAGGGGCACGGCGGAGGGCGGCGGCGGCGCGGCGGGCGCCTCCTCGGTGTCGGGGCTCAGCAGGCGGGGGCCGGCGCGCGACAGGCGTCGCAGGTGCGGGGAGCGGCCCGGACCCAGGCCCAGGCCGAGGCCCAGGCCGGTCTCCTCCACCGACAGCCTCCTCAGCAGCAGCGGGGAGCTGCGCGGGCTCGGCTCCTCCGACAGCTGCCGGCGCAGGCCCTGCTCCTCGGCCCGGACGCGGAGCGCGGCGGGGCCCGGCACGCAGCGCACCGGCAGCATGCAGGGCTTCGGCGGCGGCGGCCCCGGGGCTGGGTCCGGCGCCGGTGCACAGGGCGAGGCGACCTCGGGCAGCCTCGCAGACGGCGGGGCCGCGTCCACGCAGACTGCCTCCGAGGACCGGGCCAGCTCAAAGGCTGGCACCCGGGGCTCTGCGGGGCCCTCGGGCTTGCGGGCCAGGCCGCTAGGCAGCTCCATAGTGGGCGAGGTGGGCTCGCTGGCCGGGACCCCCGGGGCATCCTGCGGCGCGCTCTGCCCGGCCGGGTCCTCCGGGGGCTCCTGGATCTGCAGCGCGGGGCCCGAGGAAGCGGCCTCGGGCGCGGAGCTGTCCCCCGGGGCAGCGGCGGCCGGCGGCGGCGGTGCTGCGGGGCCGGGGGGCAGCGGCTCGGGCCCCGCCGGTCGCCGCGGCTTCTTCCTCAGCACCACGAACTTGACGCCGTCGAGCTCCTTGACCACGGCCACGTCGTTGACGAACTGCTTGAAGCGGTCCCTGCGCGCGGCGCGGCCGCGCGGGTCGCCAGCCTCCAGCAGCGGCCGGAAGCGGCTCAGCAGCTCCGAGTTGCGCACCTGCCCGCCGCGCTCCTGCAGGAAGCCGAGCACCGCCGCCTGGCTCACCCCGGCGGCCGCGGCGGCCGCGGCGGCGGCCAGCGCCATGGCCGGAGCCTGCCCGTGGTGCGGGAGCGCGGGGTGCCGCCGGGGCGCGTCCCCGAGGCTGGACTTCGGTCAGGGGCCGGGCCGTCGGCGGGCTCGGGCAGCCGGGGGCCGCGGCCAGCGCCCGCCGCGCGGGGCCCCCGGGCCTCTGCCTGCCTGCTCCGTCCAGCGGGCGCGGGGCTCCATCACCCGCGGGTGACGACTGCGTCGGGCGCGGCGGAGGGAGCGGGGGCGGGCGTTAAAGGCGCCGCGCCGCTGCGGGGCTCGCGGTTGCTAGGTGGGCGAGGCGTGCGTGCGCGCGTGAGCTGTAAGTAGCGGCTGCCCACCGAGGACGGCGGGTCGTGATGAACAGCAGTGGTGTTCCAGAGCGAACAGCGCTGCCTCTCCGGTTTGCTCGTGCGTTCCTGCAGGCAGGATGGAGTGATGCTTCCACGTAGGGCTTGGGGGATAAAACCAGGGGAAACATGGGAGCTGAAATCGCCGCTCGCGGTTTCAGATGCTTCTGTGCTCCCTCCTGCCCACACACACGCGTGTACGTATCCATGCTTTTAAATAAGAACGCAAACTTGGAACAACGCTATGCTTGAGTGGTTTTTTTTGTTGTTGTTGTTGTTTTTTTTTTTTTTTTGGAAAGCAGACAGGGAGCCCCTGCCCACTGGTTCATTCTCCAAGTGCCCACAGCGCTGGGAATCGGGGGTGGACCGAAGCTGGGCAGAGGAACTCAGTCCAGGTCTCCTGCGTCTGTGGTTGGGGCCCGACTACTTGACCCTCCAGGGGTCTGCATTAGCAGGGATCCCAGGGAATGGGGGTGCGGGAGTCCTAAACCCCAGGCTTAACCCCGAGGCCAACCTCCTGCCCCTTGCTGCATGTTCTAAGCCTCACTTACTAGAAAAGTACTGACTGAGCACAACCTCGGTGCCGGGACCTCCTCAGGCTGACAGATGAACGAGAAAGGTGAAAACCCTCACCTAGTGGAGCGCTTACATTGGGGGAGACAGAAATAGCGTGGTGATGCGCTTGATGGGTCCTGTGGGAAGCGGGAGGGACAGGTGGTCAGGGAGGGGCCTGGCCCGAGGGTGACAGTTAAGCGGGGACTGGAAGGAGAAGAGCTTTCTCAGGGGGACCGCAAGGGCGCAGGCGGGATCCACTTCTTGGTAGGCAAGGTCGTTAGACGAACGTCAGCTAGAACCAGAGGCGCTGTGCAGTGATGCTCAGACAAGACTCGCGTCGGCACTCCGAATCCTGGCTGCACCTTAGGGGTTGCTTGATCTCCCTGCACCTCAGTTTTCTTGTCTGTAAGTGGGGAACAGAGTCCCGACCTGCTCAGGGGCTTGTAAGGATTAAATGGGTTACAAACAACATCTTTCCGGTGATGAGTAGTGCAGGCACTCCCGTTATGACTCCCTAGAAAGGATAACAGTAAAATGCAAAGGGTTCCACTCTGGCCAGTGCCGGTTCCCAGAGCAATTTCTGTCTCCAGCACTGTGCCCAGGACAAATGCGAATGAAATTTTGCCCCTTTGGCCTGTGCCGCGGCTCACTAGGCTAATCCTCCACCTTGCGGCGCCGGCACACCAGGTTCTAGTCCTGGTCGGGGCGCCGGATTCTGTCCCGGTTGCCCCTCTTCCAGGCCAGCTCTCTGCTGTGGCCCGGGAGTGCAGTGGAGGATGGCCCAAGTACTTGGGCCCTGCATCCCAAGGGAGACCAGGAGAAGCACCTGGCTCCTGCCATCGGATCAGCGCGGTGCACCAGCCACAGCGGCCACTGGAGGGTGAACCAACGGCAAAGGAAGACCTTTCTCTCTCTGTCTCTCTCTCTCACTGTCCACTCTGCCTGTCAAAAAAAAAAAAAAAAAAAGAAGAAGAAGAAGAAGAAGAAATTTTGCCCCTTTATTTTGTGAGCATTTGCCCCAACGACAATAGCTATTTCTCACAAGTACGCAGTTTTTAATGATAGCATTGAAGAAATGTAGTGTCACACTTTGTTTTCTGATTTTGGGTTGTCTATATTATTTCTGTATTTTAAAGCTTATGGATGTTGCTGCTTAGATATAAAATTTTGTGGGGCCAGGGCTGTGGCATAGCAGGTAAAGTCACTGCCTGCAGTGCCAGCATCCCATAGGGACACTGGTTCCAGTTCCAGCTGTTCCACTTCCGATTCAACACTCTGCTATGGCCTGGGAAAGCAGTGGAAGATGGCCCGAGGCCTTGTGCCCTGCACCTGTGTGGGAACCTGGAGGAAGCTCCTGGCTCCTGGCTTTGGATCGGTGGAGCTCTGGCTATTTCGGCCATATGGGATCCCGGCACCGCAGGCAGAGGATTAACCTGTGCCACAGCACCAGCCCCTAGCAGTATCTTAAAGTGTCATTCTGAAACACAAAAATGTTTATCTTAAATTTACATTTATTATAGTGAAGGTAGAACTTTTTCCCTCCTATATATTTGGATTTGTTCTTTTGTGAACTGTTATTTCTCCTTTGACCCATTTATTGGTGTTTTTCTTGTAGTTTTCATGTAGTTACCCATTCTCTGTTAGATGTCATACTTACCCAGGGTGTCGTTTGTCTTTTAATATTTGTTTTCTGATGACACCTTCATTTTTAGGTAACTGATTTTTTAAAAAAGATTTTATTTATTTATTTGAGAGGTAGAGTTACAGACAGTGAGAGGGAGAGACAGAGAGAAAGGTCTTCCTTCCATTGGTTCACTCCCCCAATGGCCGCTATGGCTGGAGCTACGCAGATCTAAAGCCAGGAGCCAGGAGCTTCTTCCTGGTCTCCCATGCGGATGCAGGGGCCCAAGGACTTGGGCCATCCTCCGCTGTCCTCCCAGGCCACAGTAGAGAGCTGGATTGGAAGAGGGGCAGCCAGGGCTAGAACCAGTGCCCATATGGAATCCAGTGCCACAGGCAAAGGATTAACCTACTGCGCCACGGTGCCAGCCCCCAGTAACTGATTTTTAACTATGAATGTTACCTCTTTAGCTTAAGAATATAAGTACAAAATGAGAAAGCATAGCTCCCATTGAAAGGAGCACTTTCAGGATCAGTGTATCCTGTGCTGTTCAGCGGAGTGATAACCTCAGAATGAAAGCAGTGCCCTTGGAAGCAGTCCTTGTGTTTTTAATGCACAGTGATCCTACAGTCAGCTGTCAGTTCTTTCTACGTATTATCCCTTTTTAAGCCCGCACCAAGCCCCAGCCCTGCAAAGCCTTCTGCAGCCGCCTGTGGTGTATGGTGCTCTGTGCTTCCGTGAATTACTGAATATATTTAGGCGTAGAGCACTGACTGAGCCAGGTGCTCTGGGAGAAGACATAACTACCTTGGAAGAGCCAGTTGCTTAGTGGGGGAGAGAAAAATACACAATTATTTGTTACACAGCTAATGAAACGAATGTTCCAGGTGCTTACCAGAAGGTTGATTCTAAGGATAGAGGGCAGATTGTGAGGAGGGCTGGGCTAAGGCTGGAGGGGGACTGTGGAGCTGGGTCCAGAGTAAAGAGTCTGGTGTGTTTGCAGTTTAGGGTGTGTGCTGGGATACGGAGAGAGATAGTGTCGGCCAAGTCGCAGGGTGTGGGTGGACAACCTTATTAAATGCTCATTTGAACTTTATCCTGTTTGCCATTGAAAGCTTCCTTTGTTTTTAAGAAGTAGCTTTAATAGTTTCTGATTATAAAATTAATAATGTTATTTTCCCAATTCTCAAATAGTTTCCAAAAACAAGAAAACAAGTCTCATGTTAGAGAGCCATTCTTAAAGTTCCTGGGTTTGTACTGTGAGTTTTTCTCCACGTCTCCTTAAACATACACATGACCATGTACTCCACTCTGTGCAGGTTAGACACACTGTTTCATGGGCCATGCAGCTTCAGTGGCGGCTGTGACAGTGCTGGTGCAGCGAATGGTTGGAGGGGGGCCATGATACGTGGAGCCAGGTTGGCGAGCTGGGTGCCAGGTGGTCCTGTGTTTCAGAGATACTTATAATGCAGAAGTTGCAGTATATTGCCTTTTCATTTTTCAATGTCACATTCTCCCTGTTGCAACTGTTATTTCAGTAACTACATTTTGTATTTTAATTTTCTTGATTTTTCAGGGCAAATTGCTAGGATCCTTGAATTCACCTCCTTGATCTTAGAGCTAGTGGAGGCATCAGTCAGTTTGGGCTTTGGTTCCTGCTCCCTCTCTCCAAGGCAAGGAGGGAGAGGACCCCCTCTCCTGTTAGAGATTTGTGTGGGTTGAACTCGTTTTGACTGATCACTAGGACCAAACGATTCAGTACTGATTGAATAGGAGTTGCTGGTACAAGCAAAATTTATTGATTGTGCTTAACAGGCTTCAGGGGCTGAGCTATACAAAGAAACTTGTCCAAGGTCACAGTGAATAATTGGTTGAACCTGCACTTGAACCCCAGGCTGTCTGCTTGTGCTCATTTTCCACGCAAAATTAGATCACCAATTACTTAAAATCGATGTTTTGAACATTGAGTAAGTAAAGTCAGGAAAAACTCCTACAAATCAAGCTTCAACCCTTCTGCTTGTGCATCTGAACCCGGGCTGCTTTTTTAATATTTTAAGTGTTTAGCTTCTAGTTTGAGCAAACGTTAGGGCAAGCCTGCCAATGACATCCAGTTCCCCAGGCTGCTTTTTAATGTTGCTGCTGGAAAGCCCACAGAATCAATTCTCCCAGTGACCCAGCAGTTCGCTCATAAACGTTGGGAAAATCAAAGATAAAATGCATATCCCTCACAAGGGTAAAACTCCACCATGTGACTCAGACATACGGAAGGTCATGGTAAGGTTGTCAGTTCTTAGTGTCTTTGGTTTGGAGAAAGAGTAGAGACCCTCTGTGATTTTAAAAGGCACGTTGAATACTCACAAAGTTAAAAACTCTCCACAATCATATGTTGTAGTCCATTGCCTACTGCAACCCATCCTACCCTCTGAACCCCAAGCCCTAGTGTCGCCGGGAGCGGTGGCGGATGCTTGCTTTGCAACTGCCCTGTGCCCTGTTGGACAGCGTGGGTCGGCCCCTTCCCTGGGCCTTGCCCCCTCGCAGGCTGCCAGCTCTCCTTGGCAAACAAGAGCAGTGTCTCAGGCCCCAGAAGGCTGGGACTCCTGGGTTGTGGGGGGGAC